CCGGGCTTCCGGGGGCCCAGGTGATGGAGATCTCTCTTCCCGGGCTCCTCGCAGAGGGCTAAGCGGCGGGAGGAGGCTCCCCTCAGGTTGGGAACGGTAATTTACAACAGATCCAGGCTGAGGGCTGCTCGCACCGCCACGTGGGCCCCGCGTGAGCCGCGCGCGGCCCGAGGGGCGAGCGTTAGCGTAGCCTTAACAATGCGGCTTAATTGTGATCGGGCTGCTTAGAGTCCCGACGTCAGGCAGTCAGGTGGGGAACAGCCAGAGGAAGGAATGCCTGAGGATCTTCTTTCTCCCGGTGCTGCTGCAGTTTTTGAGCCCCAAAGTGGTAAAACATTAGGGAATCAGTCTGGATTACATTCAGGGGTGAGATCTCTCAAGTGTACCACTGCCCTGATTTTGGGCCGCCGTGGTTAAGGTGTAGAGGGCCGTTTGTCATCTAGTGTATTCTTTGGTTAAAAAAAAAGAACTAAGCCTTTAGTTTTCAAAAGGCGTTTAAAGGCAGAAAGGATGGACCTGCTTTAGGGTTTTCTGGCACCCATGAATAACCCCACTTGAAGTGAAATTCTGCAGGACTACATGGAAATAGCTTGAATTTTGAAAACTTGTTCCAGACAGTAGTCCCTAATTAAATGATAAAAATTGATGAAGGATCTAATATATATTCTAAGAATGAGGGTGTGTAATATGTGTGTGTATATATATATACACATATAGCTGCTTATACATTAAAAATGTCACTAGAGCAATCGGTGGGATACAGCTGCTTCAACTGGTGTCCATAGGAATCACCTGTAGTTTAGTTTAAAATGCTGATTTTGATTTATTAGGCCTGACTAGGAGCCCGAGATTATACATTTACAACAAGCTCCCAAGTGATAGGAATAATTTGAGCATTTCTGACTTAGTAAAACCCTGAGCACATGATGCTCTCCTGGCCACCTCTGACACTTCCTCCTCCCTGAAAACAACCCATTGTTCTCTCTTCAGGCTCACCCTTTAAAGTAGAAGCAAACATTAGGCATGGGGTGGAGGGAGAAACCCAGATGGCGGCTTTTGCTTACTGTTTTTTTTTTTATCTATTTATGATAGGGGTCGGGTTCCACGTCTTCCAGGTTTGTTTCTTCACCACCAATCTAGATGACTGATGCCTGCCCTCTGTCAGAGTCGCTGTCGTCAGTGTCATAATGTGGGAGGCCACTGCAGGCTGTACAGGGGCTTTTATGACAGCATGCAAATGCTGGGTTTCCCTGTGACAGTGTCACATAGACACACATCATACTTTGTTTTTCTTACTCCCTACACACACTGCTGCTCCTCCTTGCTATGTTATCAGCCACACGCAGTCATTTAACTGGACTAATACATGACTGACTGTGAAATATACTGAAGTAATATATAGAGAGTGTATGTATGACTGTTGAGTACCGGGCACTGTTCTTATTTTTACAAATAAGCACTTTCTTACAAAGAAACTAGGTGAAATATACTGAAGTAATATATAGAGAGTATATGTATGACTGTTGAGTACCAGGCACTGTTCTTATTTTTACAAATAAGCACTTTCTTACAAAGAAACTAGGGCACAGATTGCTGTTACACCAAGGACACAGACCTATTAAGTGGCAGAAGTGGAATTTGAATGCAGGTATTTAACTATATTTGTGTTTTAAATTGACATCTGAATCTAATTTGACTTCTTTTCCCATTTGTAGTTTCAGAAGCCAGGGTGAAGTGATTAGTGGGAAACACTAGAAACTACCAATACGAACTCTCAACATACAGGGAGGACAATGAAGAAGTTTCAGAGAAACCAGTTCCTGTTGCCCTAATCTAACATAAAAGTACACTGAACCTTTACCGCTGTGTAACGAAGCACAGCATACTGGGACTCACTTGAGGTCAGAGCTCTTGTTTCTAGAAATATGAGGGCAGTTCAGTAAAGCTGTTGACACTTCTCAAAATAAGGTTTCACATACAAATACATATTTATATGCACATACTATAAAACATTTGAAGTACAGTTGTCAGTTTTAAGAGAAAGCAAACATGGTTTGAGTAAGTTTTATAGATAAAGCAAGATCAGGACTGGGGATATTGCTCAGTGTATGTCTAGCATGCATGAAGCCCTAGGTTCAATTCCCTAGCACCTATAAACTGGATGATAGCAGCATTCCTGTAACCCAGCACTTGGGGTTGTCACCGGGGTGGGTGTGGTGGAGTTTATCCTCACCTTGTTTCAAGCTCAAGGTCTGACTGGAATACATAAGACTTTTAACTCAAAAGAAGTAAACACAGTAGGATCTAACAGCTTAATAAAGACCCAAATTTTGAAATAATAATAAAGGAGAATGGTAGTGCCAATCTTTATTAGAATTGTAATGTGATACAAAGTCACACACACTGACTAAAAAGTAGGTTTGGCTAACACTATGGTATTTATCCCTACATCATTAGTTAAAGAAATACAAAAATTGTCATTAGTGATTAGTAAAGAATACAATTCAATGTTTTAGCTGGGCATGGTATTGAAGGCCTATCATCTCAGCCTTGGGAGGTAGAGGCAGAAGGATCAGGAGTTCAAGGTCATCCTCAGTTACATGAAGAGTGGAAAGCCAGAGGCTGGAGAGATGCCTCAGAAGTTAAGAGCTCTTGTTTCATTGTGACCCACAGCCGTCCGTAACTCCAGTTCCAGTGGATCTGATGCCTTTTAGCCTCCATGGGCACCAAGCTTGCACATAACATAAATACATCGAGGCAAAACACTCATACACATAAATTGTTTTGAAGTTTGAGGCCAGCATATATGACGTGATCCTGTCTAAAAAGTGCCCTCAGGCAGTACATATCATATACACAATAAACTATAAGATTTATATTCAAAGCTTATTGGCATATTCTGCAAATACATGATTTGGAACCCAAGTGAAACAAATATATTGCTTGCATAAAAATCCAATTAATTTTGTGCTCTCTGGTTTACAGTATCATTCTTACAAAGTTAAATTAATACTGTTTGAGGAAATTGTATTTTGGCTGGCCATGGCATCACAGCCCTGTTATCTCAGCACTGAGGAGCTACAGGAAAGAGAGCTCTGGTTGGAGGCCAACCTGGGTTACATAATGACACTGTTTCAAAACAAGACCTGTGCTTTCATATTGAAAACATCATTTTGACCTTAAATTGGTAGGGTTTGCGCTTTAATGGGCCATGCACAAATCTTTGAGATAAAAAAGAATTAGTGTGTTTTTTTTCTACAGAGAACAAATACACAAATGTTTATAGTAGCTATTAGTCATGATGGTCAAAAACAAGCAACAGATACTTAGCAGTTGATTTGGTGTCATATCTGTGGAACAGAATTGCACTAAACAGTGCTGCATCTGGTGGCACACAGGTGATTGAGTTAAGGTCAGCTGGGCTGCTGCCGAGTTCTAGGCCAGGCTAAATGAGGTACGAAGAAACGTGGGAAGAAAAGTGTTACAGACCAACTTAAACTATTCTTGAAGTAATCCCTGTAATCTAAAAGCAAGCAGGAAAGCTTTTTTCTTGCTTGGCATGACATTTTTACGAATTCATGTGTGTGTACATATATACTTTTTATATATTTACAAACACAAATATTAAGCAGTTACCTTACTCTATCATGTAATATGTACTAACACTTTGTCAGTATTTTAAATATTAATTTCCCGTTATAGTATTTAAGTTAGAAGAAAAGGAAACATCATTCCAAAATCTCTTCTGGAGAAGGGAAAGCATCCCAGCTATATGAAAAATATTTGTGATGACTAACTTTGAAATGTTATGCATCAGCTTGACTGGTAGGGGGATTCCCAGATAGTTGGTAAAACATTCTTCCTGGTGTATCCATGGGGTGTTCTTGGAAGAGATTATTGCCCTCAATGCAAACAAGAATTTTTTTAATCTATTGAGATTTTAAATAAAATGAAATTGCAGAGGAAGGGAAATTTGCTTCTTGCTTCTTAAATCCATCTTCTCCAGCCCCAGGTGGACATCAATACTAGTTTTCTGGTCATCAGACTTGGACTGAATCATACCAGTCACTTTACTTGTTCCTCATTATATAAAAGTAGCATATTTCAGGACTTCGTGGCCTCCATAATAGCATCAGAGCCAATTCCAATGCTTCTTTGGAAAACCCTAATTAATGCATTCCTCTTTGCTGAAGCATGACAGGGCTCTTCCCGTAGACCACCAAATTTAGTCTTAACACTAGTAGAGTCGCTTAGTTTCACAAAACTTAATTAGGGTTTTTGTGCTTGTTAGCTTGAAATAAAGTCACTGTTATATTGTTCCTATGTTTCAAAGGCATTCTGCCTTTCAACAAACATTTACAAGTACAGTTTTTAAAAACAAGCCCAAGGGCCGGAGAGATGGTTCAGCACTTAAGAGCACTGGCCTCTCTTCCAGAGGGTCTGGGTTCTATTCCCAGCACCCACATTGTGGCTCACAGCCATCTATAACTCCAGATGTAACCCAGGAGACCAAAAGCCATGTTCTGGCCACCACAGACACCAGAATGCATATAATACACAGACATACACGTAGGGAAAAGGCCCATACACATTACAGGAAAAACCCCACATGAATTCACTTATAATTCAAAACTGACCTCAAACTCATATAACCAGGCTGACCTAAAAGTTTTGATTCTTCTGCCTCGGCTTCTGGGGTGCTCAGATTTCAGGGGTGCATCGTCCTGCCTAGCTTAGACCAAATGTCAACATAATACAGATCTGTTGACAGAGTAATTTGTTTTCTAACCAGAGCAGTATAGGTGAAAAAGTGAGGCAGAGCCGGAAAAAGGAAAGTTCACGGGCAATAGAAACAACCTTGGAAGTCTCAAGACAAACTAGTAGATTGGGAAACAAGAAGTACTTTGTGAGTGTGTCCTTGCATGCATGAGTATCCATGCATCTTGGAGGCTGGATTGAAATGTGGGTCTAAATTTGAGTAGATGGGATGGAATAATTTTTTTTAACTTAAAAAGGCTTGATTGACTTTCATTCACACACAAAAAATATCTATGACAGTCATGTGGAGGATATGGCAGAGTGTGAAGAGTTGAGAAGCCCACATCCATGCTTTCAGGTATGTCTTTCTTAGGAGTCCCGTCCTGTCTTGTATTATCCCTGTTTCTCTGTGTAGCCCTGGCTCTTCCAGAACTCACTTTGTAGATCCGCCTGCCTCTACCTCCCAATTGCTGGAATTAAGGGCGTGCGCCACCACTGCCAGGCAGGAATACTTTCTTTTAACCCTTAGGTTTACAATATTAAATATAACCTGGATTTGTACGCCAAATACTTTCTTCTTTAAGTTGGTTTTTGTCAAGGTATTTATTAAAGCAACAGAAATGAAACTTCGATAGGTCCTAGTAAGGGGAAATTTTTTTTAAAAAGTACATAATTCATAATAAAGGAATTGTCTTTCCCCAGATATGCCACAGCTAGATTATTATATTTTAAACAGCTTTATGGAAACATAACTGACATGTACAAATCATCATATGCTTAAAGCATAGAACTTAGTAACTGACATTTTTATATATCATGGAAAGTACCACCAAATAAAGTGAGCATTAACACAATGTGCTGTGTGTTCGGGGTGTGTGTGTGTGTGTGTGTGTGTGTGTGTGTGTGTGTGAGCAGTGTGTGTGTGTGTGTGTGTGTGTGTGAATTATTTCTCATCTCCCTTTTCAAAGGAAACCACTGACTTTTTTTTGTAGATTAGTTTGCATTTCCTTTTTAAAAATTTTTCATGTCTTAAAATACTTATTTTGTGTCTGTGTGGGCATGTGTGCCATCCTTTTCAAAGGAAACCACTGACTTTTTTTGTAGATTAGTTTGCATTTCCTTTTTAAAAAATTTTCATGTCTTAAAATACTTATTTTGTGTCTGTGTGGGCATGTGTGCCATGGTCAGAGGACAATTTTGGGGAGTCAGTTCTCTTTACCATGCTAGACCCTGGACATGGACTTTAGGTTCTCAGACTTACTTGGTGGCAGTCACTTTACCTGCTGAGTCATTTAGTTAGCTGTACTTTGAATTTTCTAGAATTTTATTTGAGGTACACAGTATACCCTCTTTTCTGGCTTTTTTCACATAGTATAGTTTTCAGATTTACCTATGATGACAGAGTCCTACAAACTCCACCGATCTACTGTCTCTAAGGAACAATAAAAGCTTCAATTACTGGAGAATTCAACTTTATAAAACTATTTGCTACAGATTAAAAGTCCCCACTATTGACTTTTGCTTCTCAATTTAAGGTTTCCTAAGGTTGAACAACTCAAGTATTACTACTAAATAAGAGGAAATGCTAACTCATTTCTAGGAACTCAAGTAAAAGCATAAGATTTTTTAAAATTATTTAACCTTTATTTTATGTGCAATGAGGTAAAGGTATCAGATTCCCTACAACTAGAGTTACAGACAGTTGTAAGCTGCCATATGGGTGTTGGGAATTGAACCCTGGTCCTATGGAAGAACAGTCAGTACTCTCAACTGTTGAGCCATCTCGTCAGCCCCAAAGCATAAGATTTTTATTTAAGGTAGAACTAGAAAGGATGTTTTTCATAAACTTTGCTGGGTGTGAAAGCAAAATAAGCAAATAAAGTATCTCTGTATAACCAAAATTCTGTAAAATTAAAATTCTATTCACTTAATCGAAATTAGAATAAAATGGAAAGGGCAGAGCTAGGCCTGGTAACACACAACTGTGACCCCAGCACTTGGGAGGCACAGGAAAGAGGAGCAGCAATTCAAAGCCAGCTTTGGTACATAGTTTGAAGTTAGCCTGGACTCCAAGAGGTCCTGTCTCAAACTAGCATGGCAAGAGGCAAAAGATACACAGAGAGAGACTGTCCGAACCCCCAAGCCTGCTTTTTAGTGGATGAAGTGTTGCTACCCAGTTACCACTGACCAGTCAATGAGATGCTATGGCAGCTTAGACATAACCACAAGACTTAGTGTAAAAATAGAGCTATTATTAGTTAAGGTTGCTTGTCCATTGTAGTTTTTAGAAACATCAAGAGAAACAAGTTTTTAAAGAGGAACAGAAACTATCTTACATTTTGTGTCTAAATGAAAGGCATAGATATTTAAAAGACATCATGCATATCTTGAAATTATAAACTTTACTCAGTTCATGAAATTCAAGATCAATGGGACACATTTGGTGAAAAAAACCTTCCTTATTTATCTTAACATGGTGGAAAGACCAGCAAGCACATGTAAGACCAGGAGACAAGGCCAGAGGAGTACAAATGGGCTTTTTTGAGAACCAGCCCACTCGCTGGATGCTATTAATCCATTGTGGAAGGCAAAGACCTCATGGCCTAATCACCTTATTAGACCCTATCTTTCAGACTGCTGCATCAGGGATGTTTTAACAAGAATTTTGGAGGACATATTCAAACGTTTGGCATAGAGAACCCACACTTCATGTGTTGTGATTCTAGGGAATAAGGCAAGTAACATGCAGATAAGCAGTGTCTATCTGGCTTTTGGGAGATCCTCCATGCATAGAAGCCATTAAACTAATTACACAAGTTGAAACAGTGATACTTTGAAGCCCTTCCCCTCAAATGGAAAGAAAAATTTTTTTTTCCGTTTCTCATGGGGGGTGTATTTTTCCCCTTGAGTTAAGATAGACTTTGTAGTGAGTATGACCAGTAGATATAGTAAAAATGATGCTCTCCGTGTTCATGACCAGACATTAAAGAGCCAGGAAGGCCAGGGGAGTGTCGCCATGCTAGAGAGCCTACTCTTCCAACATACCAGACAGGTGAATGAAGCCATCTTGGGATCTCAAGCCTACGCTATCACTGAGTACCTCTGGAGAGCCTCACACAATGGCAAAGGAAGAGAAGTCATCCATGTGAACCATACCTAAACTACTGAGATATAAGCACCCTAAGCTACTAGTGGTGACAACTAACATGATAGACATGAAGAAGAGCAGCTAGGGAAGAGCCTAGAACATTTTTTTTCAACAACTCATATGTATACAATGCAAGTTCCCCTTGGACCACCACCCAACACATCCCCTTCTCACCTTCATGATCTTTTCCTAGCAAATGTTCAGTCAGTTTTACAAAACAGACAGACCTTAGTAAAGTGTGTGTGAAGTTTTTGAGACAGGGTTTCTCTGTGTAGCCCTGGCTGTCCTGGAACTCACTTTGTAGACAGGCTGCCTCTGCCTCCCAAGTGCTGTAACTAAATGTATGCGCCACCACCCGGCTCAATTTTTGTTGTTTTTCAGTAAGAAAATATAGATCCTCTTGGAGGTAACATCTTAAGAACTTGTGAAGATTAAATAATCAAACATTGAAAATACCTAAGGATATACTAATGTGTTATTAACTAACTGCCTGCTGGACATTTCTACAACTAAAATTAAACCAATGTTTATTCTTTAACCTGAGTCTTGGTTTTCAAAAATCATTTCTTATCCTGACTGACCTGCTTAAGGTGAATATCTTTTTTTAGTCACTGAGACTCAATATATTAATCTGTCTTTAACATTTTTTTCCCTCATCAATTTCTAGTACATACTGCATTTTAAATTTTATAATGTATTTTCATCACTAGTGACAATTCCATAAGTTAGACAGAAGTGATTAATATTTCATCCAAATACTTTGGGATCTATGAGGTGACTGGTTGTAAATAAGGAAGCAGCATCAGACAAGCTAAATGACTTACCAGAGGTGACAGGATCAGCGTAATTATCGGTCCTGCGACTCTTGACAGGCATTCTTTACATTCTCCACGGTGACTCTCATCAGCTCATACTTGATCTATTAATGTAGACCCTTCTTAGGTTTCTGTTTCTACTCTTCCTTCTCATGTCTGCTTTTGCATATCACTACCATATAAAGCATGACTTTCGTTACAAAGTTGCACAATGAAGTTTTCACTGTTGTGTTATTGTATGGAAAATAATCAGAGGCCAGCATGGTGTGCAATGCCAGTACTTCCAGCACTCCAGAGGCAGGAGCAGGAGTATTGCAGTTTGAGGCCAATCTGAGCTATCTAGAGTGATGGTGTGTCAGAGACAGAGACAGAGGAAAAGACAGACGGGATTCTTTAGGTTCTATTTCTGATCGTGAAGAACTAAGTTTTGCTCATACTTTTATTGCAAACAACAAGAAAAGCTAAATCAAAATAAAACAGGCATACCTGTTTTAAAGTCATTAGGAAGCTACCAAATTAGTGAAGACTGCCAGAGTTCTTTCAAATAATACAAATAAAGGAAGAATCAGAATGGGGCTTTTCCCAGAAAGCCATTTGGCTCTTCCACAAGCAACTAGAAAACAAAGTAGAGCTTGCCATAGGTTCACAGGACTAAATAGGAAGGGGTGTGTATGTGAAATTCAGAGTTCATCAACTTCAAGCTTTCAGTTAATACATGTAGTCTAAGAACCCAAGTGATATAAAGATAGATCAGAATTTGTCCCAACTAAATTCTGGTGGGCTTAGTGTGCTAATGGCCTTAGTCTAGCTTCACACATGGCAGAGAAGAAAAATAGCAAAATAATTTGTTTTCTATATTCCACTTTTCAACTGATCATACCGTCTAGATTCTCAGGCATAGCTGCTTCTGTTTATTGTACATGCTAGTATTCTCTCACTCTGCCAAACAACTAAGTTAAATACAATTCTTTACTAAGGTAGAGTGACTGAAACATATACTGCTGTAAGATATGAGTCTTAGTTGAGGCCCTTAGGAGATTACTGCCTCCCTCCCTATATATTAGTAGACTAGTAGTAGGCCACGGTCAGAGGATACATTGGGGAATCTTAATGAAAAATCCTATGTTCCAAATACTATTTATTCCATTGAACAGCAGCAATCCAAATTCCTTCCGTCAATTGGGGTCCTTTACTCCTACCAGGAGAGTGCTCCCTTTCTCTGCCATTTGTTTTCATGTAAGAAGCCCAAACTTGGGGCTGGAGAAATGGTTCAGCTGATAAAATGTCTGCCACCCAAGTACAAAGACCCATGTAAAAAGCCTGCCATGGTATGTGTTTTTTTAACCCCAGTGCTGAGAGAGTGAGAGATCTCTAAAGCTCATTGTCCAGCCAGCCTATCCAAACCCACAAGCCCCAGGTTCAGTGAGAGACTCTGTCTCAAAGATAAAATGAAGAGGGATCAGGGAATATACCCACACTTGACCTCTAACCTCTGCATCACACACACACAAGCATGCATGCACAGATTCACAGGAACATGTATACCCAACACACCGAGCCCAGAGTTGGCCAATACATAGTATCTGTCTCATTCATTGAAGCCATGATTCCTGTGAAGCATTCCTCCCTTTCATATTTGACCTGCTTTCATAGTGACCTCCAAAGTCGCAAGAATCTAGAAATTCTATCAGTGAATTATGTCTAAGAGAACCACCAACAAAATGCATATAGGAGCACACTAAAAAATATGTACAAGAATATTCCTAACAGCATCCCTTCAACCAAGTATTGGAAATGTAGCCAATACCCATTAACAACAAAATAGATAAATTGTGTTATACTAATAGAATAATATGTAACAGTGAAACAAATGTACAACTCTACAGGTAACATCAGGGATAAATCACACAATGTTAAGTAAAGCCAAACACAAAATATACTACCTATAATTTAGTTTACATAAAGGTTAAGTATTAGCAAGTACAATATTTTGTTTTAAAATTCAGAATACAATGACACTCGGGAATAGACAAGTAATAATTAAATGAGTAATATAAATATAAATATATATAAATATAATAATTAAATGAGTTGTGTATGTAATGGTTATATAATTACCTTCTTTATGCCATTGGTACAGAGCGATTTGTGTCTTTTTATGTATGTATGCCATGTTTGCACTAAAAGTTTAAAATAAATTCATAATGAAGGGACCAGCTCCCCATTTCGGCAGCCATGACAGTAATACATGCTCCCTAAGACCTTATCTTAGTCACTAGAGGTTAGGTGCCTGCCTCGTGACAAGGAACCAATCAGAAGTTAGCTGGTGGCGCTATGCTTTATGACCCTGGGTGTACTTTATGGACAAGCGCACAGCAATGATGCAGAGCATAGCAACCACCCTGGGAGGGCCTATGGGCCATAACAACCAGTTGACCAATCAACACAGGGCAAGCCCTCCAAGCCTG